TGTTTTGGAAAACTCTCGAGGTCAGCTACAAGAATATGTAATAAAAAATAGGGGATGCCGTTTAAAAAAATTGAGGTGACTTTCAAATAATTCTTCAAGGTCAAAGCAATGGTACCATCTTATGGTCCCCTCAAAACCAACTTTTGTCTGAAAAATTTTTCTCTCCCGTGCTTGGTTTTCGACATATTCGACTGGATGGATTAAAATGGTCCACCCTGTATACATAGAGTGAGTGGTTTAAATCGAATCAGGCAAATATCTCAAAAAAATATGGAAAATACAGAAAAATATTTCAAACAAAATTTGTATGGTTTGTAGGGAGACATAAGATGGTGCAATTGGCTTGACCCTGAATAGTCGTTTGAAAGTCACGTGAAGGTCACCTTCAATTTCTTAAATGGAAATTTGTCATTGCATATTCTTGTAGCTTACCTCGAGAGTTTTCCAAAACACTATAATAAAATATTTTTTCATTAAGTATTTTTCGAGTTAAAAGGTTTCAAAGTTACAATATTGTTGCCATTAGCATTGGTACCCAAGGTGTTCGACCGACGGCTGAAACCTTTTGAATATTGTACAGGGCCATGACCTTGGCAACATTTGTCAAGGTCAAGGCGATTGGAGGCTGTTCCTAATATTTTTATTTCTTCAAATTTTACAGTAAAAACAAAAATAATAATTTAAAATCATGGGGTAACATGTGGAGTCCGATTGACTCTAAAGGATCATATGAAGGTCACAATGCTTCGTCGGGGCCATAAAGAAGCACACGTGTGAAATCCCATTAATAAATTTCTTTAATAATCATAGCATTGTGATGTTTATATGATCCTTTAGAGTCAATCGGATCCATATGTTACCCCATGATTTTAAATTATTATTTTTGTTTTCACTGTAAAATTTGAAGAAATGAAAATATTAGGAACAGCCAATCGTCTTAACCTTGACAAATATTGTCAAGGTCATGGCCCTGAACAACATTTAAAAGGTTTCAGCCGTCGGTCGAACACCTTGAGTACCAATGCTAATGGCAACAATATTGTAAATTTGAAGCCTTTAAAAGAAAAATACTTAATAAAAAAATATTTTATTACAGTGTTTTGGAAAGCTTTTAAGGTAAGCTATAAAAATATGCAATGAAAAATGGAGGTTTTCATTTAAGAAATTGAAGGTGACCTTCATGTGACTTTCAAACGATTATCCAGGGTCAAGCCAATTGCACCATCTTATGTCCCCCTCCGAACCATATAACTTTTGTTTTGTTAGAAATATTTCCGTATATCTTCCATATTTCTCGAGATATTTTTCCGTATATCCTCCATATTTCTCGAGATATTTGCCTGGTTCGATTAAAATGACTCACCCTGTATATCTCAATACGTATCTCAATTATCATATTTAAGAATGATATATTAGAGCGTTATGTCGTCACGACATAATGTACAAGAGATTTAAACTTTGCCACATGTTGTAGAAAAGACTTAAACAATTGATCGGGAAGAGAAACGCCGAAAATTTGTAATTTTGGGTTGTGATAATTTCAAATCTCAAGATTAACTGCACTAATTTTTATTAGATTTGTCGCAATTGAAAGCTTGTATCAACGTTTTTGTCAGAAATGCAATTAGATTTTTCATTACGGCTTTATTTTTCGAGATATTTTAGTTGGAAGTGTGATCGTCGCAAAAACTCCAGAAAAGCTTCTTGGTAGCGTCGTGTAGTATGAACATAGTCACATCTCGGACCTGTCATTCTCGGAACTCGTCTTTATGTTCTTGGCGTCGCGACGTTACCGCATCGTTTGATTTCTTTATATTGTTTAACGCGTTCAGACAATGGGAAACGTTGCGAATCCGCCTAAGTATTATACAGTCTGTTTGATAAGAATGTGTCCGGGAAAACTTTTATATATAAACAAATAGACGGGAAATTCAAACAGGAATCGGTAGAGGCACCTTTCGTCTAAGATGCTTTCTTGATAAAGCTTTAGTTGTCATTCGATCTTCGTGATAAAAATAGTTCGCCATGAGTGTCAAATATACATCGCGTTTCGAAGTCATGTTTCTTTGTACACATCCGAAAGGACTAAAAATGTCACGCCAAGCGGCTGCTACATGAGAAAGTTAAAAGCATTTGTAAATAAGTGGGTGAATCGCTACTTAGAGGTGAAAAATATCGAATGACTTACCAAAACGTGGCTCTACGCAAGGATTTGGCACTTTGCATGTCTTTACAAACAACTTAAACGCTAGCAAAATGGTTAAAATTTATGAGAAGGTTTTATTACTATCATCATCATGGATCAAGGAATTAATACGAGAAATTCAATTGATATGGAGATCTTTACCTCAAGAATATGCCATAAAATTAGTTAAAAGTATGTCTTGGAGATGCCAGGCAATTATTAATAATGAAGGTAACTGAACAAGTTATTTATAATAAAACATCACAGTTCTCTAATCAAGTAGTATGTGTGTCAAATCAAGTAGTAGTATGTGTATTTTATTCCAAGTCATTTCAATAAATTATTTATCAAGTTTTGCCATATACGCTCTTATCAAACAGACTGTACATCTATGGTCTCTTCTTAGCATAAGATTAGGAGCCACAAGATTATTAATTATTATGTAATATTTAATTTAAAAAATTTCTTTATTAATAAAAACATGAAAGGTATTATGTTTTACACTTATATTGTCCTCCAAACATACTATTGCAACTTTTATAGTCCATACATGATTTGTTGTAGCTCAAACAATAAATGCAATAACTATTTATTTTTAGTCGTCAATAATTTATCTAATTGTTTAAATGAGACTATAAGATCTCAAACGATGTAGAAAGAAAAAAGAAAAATTCTCTAGGGCGATTTTTGTGGAAAACACGCTTTAAAAACTATATTGATAATGTATCGCTTAATACAACAATATAACAAGGGTACTTCAATGTTTAACGACTCGAGGGCACGGGTTCTCGTTATCTGATTGAATTCAAACTTGATAGGAATTATTTTTTTGTTATATGGAGACTTTTTTGAGAGTTTGGCGGAAAAATTCTAAAAAAATTTTAACTAAAAATAAATAAGGTCTACCCTAATATATATATATATATATATATATATATATATATATATATATATATATATATATATATATATATATATATACATATACATATATATATACATATACAGTGAGCTACGAAAATATCCGAACGCTGTTAGATGAAATATTTAAGAGTGGAACAAGGTTATATTAAAAATTCCAAAATGATCTTAAATCATTAGTAATTTACAAGTAATATGATGATAATATACGCCAAGTTTGATAGATATCTGATAACAATGATAACAATGTTACAAAACATGTCTTGAAAATATCGACTATAGAAACGGCACAAAGTACTCGAACGATACAAACTTTTGTACATAAATATTGCTTGAGCATAAAAAGATGTAAACATCGATAGGATTAGTTGACGTTACACGCTTGCCTTGATCGATATTGTCAATATTAACAAAATTGTAAAGTCTGTATAAAAATGTGTGTCAAAAAGTAAGAAACAAATATTTCTGATAGAGAATTAGTAATTAAATGGTATAATAAAGGTAAATCGTATAGTGAAATTGCAAAATTATTAAGCAAAAGTAAGTCAACTATATGCAACATAATAAAAAAATTTAAAACTATCCGGACTATTAATAATAAAATGCGTTCCGGACGATCAAAGAAATTAACTGATCGGGAAAGCAATATGATTGTTCGAGAAATTTAAAAAAATCCACTTCTAGTCCACAACTTGCTAAAATGGTTGTTGATAATTTTGGGAAAAACGTTAGTAGTGAACTTTGCCGAAGAATTCTACATGACTAATTTTCATGGTCGTATTCCACGAAAGAAACCTTTTATAAGTAAGATCAATAAAAAGAAAAGATTAGTTTTCGCTAAGGAATATGTTAATAAAGATAAAGAATTTTGGAAACACGCTTTTTTCTGACTAGAGCAAATTTAATCTCTTCGGTTCTGATGGATGTTACAAAATCTGGAGAAAAGCGATCAGGAAGATAGATTTAAAAAATTTGCGACCACACACAACGGTAAAACACGGAGGTGGTTCAATAATGGTGTGGGAATGTATGGGAGCCATAGGTGTTGAAAATCTAACGATCATCGACGGAACCATGGATAAATTTAAGTATTTACAAATATTAAAAGACAATTTAACATCGGAAATTTAACAAATGCGGAAAAATTATGTGTGCAAAGGAACTTCTACTTCCAGCAAAACAATGATCCAAAACACACCGCACGGATTGTGAAAGAATGGATTTTATACAACATTCTGCATATTTTGGAAACCTCCACAAAGTCCAGACCTCAACCCTATTAAGCATTTGTGGGCTGTGATTGGCAAGAAATTAAGTAAATGTGGAGTAAATTCAAAGATAGCATTAAAAGAACAAATTTTCGAGGTTTGGAACAATATTGACAAAAATGTTGACTGACTGAAAATTTAGTAGACAGTATGCAACGTCGATTGCAAAATGTAATAAAAGCTTGTGGTGGACCAACAAAATACTAAAATATTATGTTTATATATTTGTTTGACAAATAAGATGTAATTATGAAATCGTTCGAATACTTTTGAGGCGTTCAAATAGTTGACATTTTCGAGACATGTCTTGTAAATATTGTTAAAATTGTTGTATTTTTATCAAACTTGGCGTGTTATCATACTTGTATGTTATTACTGACATAAAATTGTTCTGAAAGTTTGAGTATAACTGCCTTTTTTAATCCTTAAACATTTCATCTGACAGCGTTCGGATACTTTCGTGGCTCACTGTATATATATATATATATATATAACTCGTTTATTTAATTTAAATTTATTAAATTATTATATTATATTAATTTATTAAATTAATATATTAATTTATATAATTACACTAAATTAACATTTGCAGACAATAGAAATTCCTGGCATTAAGATTTTCCGTTACTCTGGCAGCTTAAATTTTGCGTGTAGACAATTCTTCCGTGAGGAAATATATAAGGTTGCTGAGTTAGTGCCTCAAAAAGAACTATGCAGACGATTGAAAGCCGCGACCAATGGTTCCGCCGAAGCAGGAGAAATTAAAAAAGTAGGCATGAGTTAAACTAACGTTGAAAAACATTTTACATATTCTACTTAAAAGAATATTCAGTGTTAGCATGATCGATTATTTATTTAACTTTATTAGCTATTTTCGTTCAATTTGTGTAATATCTTGTTTTTGAGTGTTTTTATTTCCAGAATTAGATGATATCTAGTTAATCAAAAGTTAAATTAAAAGTGAACAAATTAATAAAAAAGTAGTAGAACAAGATGTTCAGGAAATAAATAATTTAGAAGGACATTTTATTTTTGTTCATATTTTATTAGAGTAGATGTTCGAACGTGCAAATAAGGTCTATAAGATTCAAGCACGGGAATTTTTTGTGCATACAAATTTTATTATAGTAATTTTTACAAAACAAGAATTATTGCATAAAAACGTTTTGGCCATAAGCATTTGAACTTTCTTCAATACAAAATAAATTTCGTCTTACAAAAGCAATTTTACGAGACCAAAAAAATTACTATCCAGAATAAAGAAGTTGTCCAAATCCTTAATAATTAAAGCTATAGTTGTTAGATTATCAGAGTATTTCCTAGTATCTGAGAGGTTAGCAATCTTAAATAGTATTTGATGAAGTGGTACTATAAGTACAATGATAGAAACAAAGCTTAGAAAGGAAAAAAATAAAAAATATAAAAATCATATCTTGCCAATCATCAACAAACTTAGAAAAATAATCGTAATAATAAAATATATAAAAATTCTTTAGAGCAATGAACAATTGATCCTGATTAAATATGTGAAACAACACTAGTATATTGTGCGTATAAGTTTATCAATATGACTACAATAGAGTCAAACGGTCGGATTATAACATTCAAAATAAGTAAATTGTCGTCTAAGAAATCAGTGTTACCCTGTAAGTTCAAAACGTGTGTTTGTTGATTAATGCATAACATTTCGGAGATTAGTCTCTTTTTATAAATTGGTTCGCAATTTAAAAATCTCAATTCACTTCCAATAAAAAATGTGACACAATCGACAAATATGACACTATGAGTTTTAACAACAGACAAATCCTTTGTGGTGTCACGAACAGATTTCCTATGTTCTTTAATGCAAATTATCAATTTGCGATGTTTGTCCAACATAAGAAGCCTGACAAATAGTGCAATTGATTTTGTAAACAAGGTTTTTAACTTAGTTAAGTTAAAATTTAAATTAAATTTTCAACACTTTTTTAACTTACAAAGAACCCCACATAGGTGTTTTACTCTGATTTGGATGAGCTTGAAATAATTATAATTCAGACCAGAAAGAAGAAAATTCAGCAGAAAGAAGAGACACATGTTTTTTTATACATTCCCAGGCGGACTTTTAGAGAGCAAAACATCACTTTGAAAAAAATCGGTTTTTTTCTTCAGGAGCATATTTCGTCCAAAGTATAAGAGATAAAAAACATTTTCTAGACAAAAATTAAATGGTTTTAGGAGTACTTTGCAACGAGAAAATTAGACATTTGAAAAATGTTATGATTGTCAACATATCTCCACCACTTTCCCAATTTCAAATATCTGATCTTGTCATTGCAAAGTACTCCTAAAACCATTTAATTTTTGTCTAAAAATTTTTTTCTATCTCTTATATTTTTTACAAAACATGCTTCTAAAAAAAACGATTTTTTCAAAGGGTTGTTTTACTCCCTAAAAGTCTGCTTGGATATAAAAAATACATGTCTCTTCTTTTGATTTGAATTACAATATACATATTTCAAGCTTATCCAAGTCGGAGCTAAACACCTATGTGAGGTTCCTTGTTAGTTAAAAAAAAACAATTAATTTACCTAATTCTGTTTATTTCACAGTTGCGGGTTCTCATATTAGACTTCACCGCGTTGTCGCACATTGATCTAGCAGGAGCGAATGCAATGCGAAGTATCGTCGAGGAATATTGCAGTATTGAAGTATCTGTTTACATAGCTGGTTGTTCTGGTAAGAATATTTAATGCATTAAGGGAATGCCAAAGTGGATAACACACTTCAAAAATGTCGATAACGCAGAAGCGACTATTACTAACACTATCACTGTCACTAACATCGTCCTCTTCGTATATCTTGTATATATATATTGATCTTATATATATATATATATATATATATATATATATATATAATAGATCTTATACAGATTATATAGACCTTATATAGATCTCATATAAATGTATGTTGTTTTGTTATTTAGCAGAATATACCGAGTGTCCCAGACTCTCTTCCGCAATTTTTATAAGAACGTAGGACAGATTGAGGTGAACATAAAAGTCCTATACCGTTTTACAATATTCGCAATAATAGTCGAGATATTAATTAAAGAAGATTAGCGAATCATTACGCACGATATAGTAGATGAGTAGCGATGTATGCTGTTTTGTATGCTTTTACATTAGGTCAAATTAAACAAAAAAGTCCTTTATCATTTTGCAAATAACCATTTTTAGTTATTAATAAAAGAAAATTGTTACATAATTGTGCGCAATAATGCAGAAGTTTTTTTAATTAATATCTAAAAATCTATTTATAAAAAATTTATCATCTAAAATCTGGTCATTTGCAAAATGATAAAACATCTTTTTGTTCAGTTTGACGTAATTTATATGTATACAATGGCAGACGACATCACTATAACTTCTCTATTATATCGCGTGTGATCATTTATCGCATTTTCTTTAATTAATATCTCGAAATTTATTACAAATATCGCAGAACGGTATAGAATTTTTATGTTCACTTCAATCTGTTTTATATATCCATAAAAAGTGCGGAGAAAAATCTCAGACACTCTGTATATAGAATGTCACAGCAAAAAACATAATCAAGTATACATAGAATTTTTTCTACAAACTTTTCTTATATTTTTAAGCTTCTCTAAATTCAGTTTTAAAAGTGCAGTGATATACTTTGAAATTTTTCTAAACGGTGTAAATATATATTCGGTAAGTACAAACTGCAGAACGTTTGTATCAAATAAATATTTACGTTAAAATGTCAATTTTTATATTTTCTATTTTTTATTTTTATTTACGTATTGAGTAATGCCTCAATCTATTTTTATTTACTTACTTTCATTGTGTAAAAACATTTGTAATTCTGTGAAATAAATACAATATAAATTTTGCAGAAGAAAGCAGTATTTTTATCAATAAAATTGTCATTTTTCTTAACACTGACATTACCTTTGTGCACATACAACATAAGAATTTTAAATAATTAATATTACCATTTGTCCCTTAAAGTCTAGATGTTTAGATCTATTTATATTTGTACTAATGAGACTTTACGGTTGTTTGTAGGGCCTGTGTACGAGACAATGAGAAAATGTAACCTAACTGACGAATACAACGACAGTCCTTTCTTCGCCATGTTTCCCACGGTCGCCGACGCTGTACATTTTGCACGATCTCACAGCGAAGTACCTTCGACGCCTGCTGCATGGAGCACTCGTGTTTACGATGAGAACTGTATTAGCAGACTCTGAGAATTGCATAATACGAAAATGTTGGCGAAATAGCATTTTCTTAGAGTGCTATTAAATCGCGTAGCGATTTATAGAATGCGTCGCCATGCAGTAAATCGAAATCGGTGGACATTGGCTAAAAATAAAATCATAATTATTAAACCATCGAAGAGTTGTTAATTCATAGAATAATCAAATTGAAGCTCTTTGAATTAATAAATATTTTTATGTCTTTTGGTTTTTGTCACTCAAACATCAACAATTCCGTAATTCTAGAAATGTTAATGAAATATTATTTGTGTTTATTTCAAAATAACCTGTTAAAACGTTTACCTTTTTAACTGCAACCACTTATGCACGTTTCATTTGACATATTTAATCGTCATTTTCCACATACAGTTATAAGAATTCACATATAAGAATTCGCATATAACAGTTATAAGAATTCGCATATTTAAAGGATGCAGTAAAAATTCTGGAATAGTCAAATAATTCACAAAATAAGCATTAAAAAACATTTTTTGGAATAAAAAATGTATTTACTGGTAAAAGTTATTTGAAATGAGTTTGAAAAGTTCTGTCTTAAGGTCAATTTCAATTTTTAAAATAAAATAAAATTATATGGCTTCTTTAACATAAGTCCATATAAAAGTACCGACTTAAGATTATTATAAAGTAAATACTTCCTAGCTATTTATATTTTATTCTGATACTTTTCAATATAAAATATATGATATGTCATAAAATATTGACTTTCCGACTACCTCACTTTAATACTTTTATACATAGAATAACGAATGAAATTATTACGAAAAGAACATAGAGAAATATAAAAATATTGTATTGCATTTTGTAGATGCGTTGATGAAATAGTGTACAATGATTAGTATCATTAAACAATTTCTCTTATTATTCTATGTACGTAAAGAAAAATGAGTACAAAATATTTAAAATATTTAAATATTTATTTCATATCTTATTAAGATATAAGATTTCATGTTTTATGTTGAAAAATATCAAGATAAAATATAAAATATCTCGGAAGAAAAAAGGGGAAAATATTTATTTTTCGATGATCTTATTTCAATACTTTTATAGACAGAATGACCAAAGAAATTGATTTACATTTAAAAAATAATGATTCCATTAAGAAAATCAAAGTAGACCTTGACCTTTCTTTCAGAACTAAAAAAAACCTTTACTAACATATTTCTTTGAAAGCGTGCTATATTTTATTGAAACATTTTTTTCTAAAACTAATATTTTTCAAAATATTCAACCTTTCTCAAACCATTAATATTAATATATGTACTTTTTTGTTTATTTATCTCTCAAAACCAATAACTTATATTGAATTGACATGCGTGATCTCGTGTGATGATTTTTATTAAACTAACCTACTTTGCGAGAGCATCTCGTTCCCTCATTTGTTTAATTTCAACCAATTAATGGATAAAAATTATTTTTATTACTCAAAACACTATATCATACATCTGCAAAAAGTTAATTCTATTTAATATGACGTTACAAAAATTATTTATTTATAATAAATATTAACCCAAAATTTTGAGATGTCGAAAATTTATTCGGTTATGTGCATCAGTCATCCTTAACTTTTATCAGCAATTTTGGAATATTGATGTTTGAATGAAAGGATAACAGAAAAAACTATCTAAATCAATTCGAAAAATTTCGACTAAATTATTTTACACGTCTTATAATTTCAACATAAATATCACAATTTTTTAATTTTTTCTTTTTTGCTAATGTCCATGATTTTAATATTTTGATATTTGCGCCACTTCTTCCCTGCATTATCAAATATTTGTTTCAAATGCTTATACGATCCATTATAAATATTTATGCGCTTTGTATCACAGTTCGTTTGATATTCAAAACTACGAATGCACAAGAACAAGTGCGAGAATAATATCACAGATATTTGCGGCAACTTAATTCAATTTTGCAAAGTCATCGAGAGTCTTGAATTCTGCATTCCTGCGATAATCGTATTGATAATTACAATGGTAATAAAATAATGAGAATAATAAATCGAGGAAACAATGTCCAATAAATATCTGTGACAATTATAATGACGAGGTCTATAGTTTACATTTAAGATACCCAGATAGCACAGAGATGAATAGAAGTTCATAGAAAATTTATTTTAAAGAACACAAAGAATTAGAAAAATGAATATCTGGAGAATTCTTGACAAATTAACAATCGATTCACCTTGAAATATTCCTGAAAAGTTTATTATAATGAATACTTCGCGACTAAGTATTTTGAATATCCTGAGAATTTATGAAAAATTAATTGTAGAATTACAAATGCTTTATTTGCTAGAATTATTTCCTATGACTACGTTCAACAAATACTTTTAATGTTTTGAATTTGTTCCCGGCAAACATCAAGAAACAGTTACGCAAAACTATAGTTATAATTTCCTATTTAATAATATAACTGTTATATAACATACATGTTATATTATATTTACATTGTTGAGTGGGAAATTATAATTAACAGTTTTGTAATTGTTACTTAATGGTTGATGTATCATAATTAGAAATTTCTTCTTAAATAAACATCTCGATATAACAAAGAGAAAAGCAAAAGATTTGATATTTTTTTAATTGTGAATATAATTGAACTAGACCCATATATTTTTATCAATTGCTAATTTATAGTATTACAATATAATAACGATTCTTTTTTAATTCTATATAATCTACCTTTAATTCTTTTCAGTTCAATTCTTTTTTTCTTTTAGGCAGCTGAAAATTTATTATATTTTAATAATTTTTACTATTTCACCTGCAAAAGAAAAGTTACTCAGTAAATACCAATAACAATAATATTATATCAGTAAATAACAATAATATTACATCAGTATTGTATTTCTCTACTGAACAACATAATTATTATGTATACATATAATATTGCTATTATATAAGCTATTATATTATATGTAAATATACATTATATAAGCATAAATCTTAAGTTTATCGTCAGAACTACTAAGATGGCTGCCTGTCGCGCGATTTTTAGTTAAAGCGATTCCAACTGCGACTAAAAAACGCATGATGACTAGTTAACCACTGCTCGGGATCGAAACCACGGAGAGACATACGAAGTATTCGCAAACCTCAGCCAATATATATA